AATTTGAGTTGTAAATAAAATTATTAAGAAATCGAAAGATGAAGTAAAAAAATATATACATATGAAATTTTTTATTTCTTTGTTTATGAACTTTCGACACTGTTTGCGTGACCATCAGTGTAATAAAAAGATGACTCATTTGACATTGATATTGACTCTGATTTATATAAATATCGGAGTTAACTTTAAAATTCAGTTGTCTTTAAAAGAGATGTTGATTTGTATAAAAAAAATGATCGATTAAACAATAAGATAGTTAGTTCATTTTTTTAATGACGGCTAAACATTTCTAAAGTATATTACAAAAATTTCATGTTTTTAAAACTCTAAGATCTTCTCTCACATATACCATGAATTTTCACAAAGGATAATTGCTGAACTTTAAATAGGTGAATGCAAGTGACGTGAATAAACATACGACAAGAAAATAAATAGGCTATAAAATATGGAGAAAATTGTTTATAGTTGTAGATTTTCTTCTAGTTTTCCGTCTTTATTGGCTTATTGTTGATAAGTGAATCTACATCTGTAGAAGGAAATGTATTATCAGTTGTAATTGATGTCTGCATTACTACCTCATCAGGTTAAAAAAACAAAATTAAGTTCCTAATCATACAACTTTCATGAGTTTTCAGATCTTGATCAACAGATATGCTTCGAATATTAGACTGATTAAGACTTGGATGAATCAATAATATTAATTTTCCTCTCTCAATGATGATATTTGTAGTTTTCTATCGTTTTTCAATGAAACTTATTTTTAAATTTCTCGAATACATTTGATTTTGAAATTGAAAAGTGGAATAGTTGCCTTTTCAAGGCAACTGAATTTTAAAGTTATTCATATAAATTTTAATTTAATCTTATGAAATATCAAGAATATTAAAGAACTTCGTTCGTGTCGTTTCAACTCCTTCATGAAGAAACAGAATACTTACTTTTTTTTTATTTTATTTAATCAGTACCTAGAAAAAATTAAAATATTATAAATGTCTGAAATATCATGTGTTATACGGGGATAAGGTTCACAAATATGTTTAAGTCCATGAGGTGTAGAAAATAATTTTATCAAAAATCATATTTGATTGCGTACAATAATATTCTTCACGTAATAATTCAAGATCAGTGAGAACTAGTGAATTTGTTGTTATTACTGGATAAGCAACAAGAAGACGGCGTTAATGAACATCAGATAATAACTTAGCATATATAATGTGACTTTCTTTAATTAAAGTGTTACTGATTCTTATAGATCTATGAAAAAAATATTATAGTATTTGAATGTTTTGCGATAACTTTGTGAAACACAAGAATATCAAATATTGAGAAATGCAGCACAAGAATAAGAAATTAAAACTTTATTGAATAGAACTCATAAGTTAGGCAACATATGTCAACTAATCGGAATTATGGATGATAAGTTCAATGTCACAGTGACGTAGTCAAGGGAGAAGCAAATGGGCAATTGCCAATTTCATTTGGATATTTGCCCATTGTAATTTTACTTTTACAGAATTGTTTATTTATTTTTGAATTAGATAGTAACTCTATTTTTTTTCTTCCGTCTGAATCATACATGCACTTTTGCTTGTTCTTTCTATGAAGAACGAAGAAAAGAAGAAAAGATTCGCTTCTGGTATTTTTACCAGGGTTGCTAGATGAAAAACTTGAAATCAGGAAATGAATCAGAATTTTTTTCCGAAATCGGAAACTAATCAGAAAGAATAACTTTTTGCAGACTAAGAACTGTCATGTTCACATACTTGCACAAAAGGCTTCACTTTTTTTTCTTTTATAGACTCATACTTTGCTTCCAAAAGTATGTCATAGTAAAGAGAGGCAACACAACTATTATATAGCTTAGAGTTATAGATCGTGTACCGTAAACTAAAGAGATTGATCATAGTCGGATCAAATGAATGCTGTCACTGTCAAACTAACTAATTAAAAATATGAACTGCCAATAATGTATACACACACCGAGATATTCGAATTTCAAGAAGTTTACAGTTTGTTATGTGCCCACACTATGAAATTTCATCAACGCCTAGTCATCTTTTTTCGTCATGGTTGGATGGAGTAGAATCATTTACATAAGAGAAAACAATATCACGCATATTAAAAGCAAATTATACGAAGTCTAAGACAACATTTATTTTTTAATTATAAGGGTAATAAACAAAAAATTTTTATTGCTGTCAAATTACTTTTGAATGTGTGTGATATTGCTTCTTCTTATGTAAATAGTCGTGTTCTATCCAACCATGACGAAGGAAGAGAACTAAAGGTTGATGAAATTTCGTAGTGTGGGCACATGACAAACTGTAAATATGTTAAAATTTAAACATCTCAGTCTGTGTACGCTAGTGACAGCTAACGTTTCAGTTGGTCTATGAGTGAGAGCATTCATTTGATTCAGCTATGAGTAATCTTCTTAATTTGCCGTTGCATGGTCTTAAATTGCCAGTTAATACAAAAACCAAACTAGCAAAAGACACACAGTGTCGGATTCTTTTACGAAGCTCAAATTCTATTTACGAAAAATAATAAAGATTATACAACATAAACTCCATATTATTTTTCAAGTTTTCCTTTGTTCAAAATTTCTTCAATAAATTTTTTTGAGCTAAAATATTTTTGCAAAATCGTTTAAAAAAATAATTAGCATTTATTGTTAAGTTCTGCAACGCAAAAGTTTACTGATATATTACAGCACTCGTCAGCGACTGCAGAACTTAGAAACTACAAAAGATTAAGAAAGGAAAGAAGATAGTGAAATATTGATTCATAATATTAATGAGTTATACTTGCGATTGATTTCACTAGTAAAGCCACCGTCTAAAAACATTTGGAATTCGCCAACAAATCAGAAAAAAAGTCGGAAACATGTTCAAATTTGAGAAAAATTTCTGACTTTTTAGAAAATCTGGCAACTCTGATTTTAACTGTAAGTTAGGGTGAACATGAATCCGATTTTATTGAGAAAACACTAACCACGTGAAAGTAGAGAAGAGAAACAAGAGTACAGATCAAGAGAATACACACGAACATATATATGTATAGATATATATATACATATAGAGTGACACTGTACAGAGACATGTTTGAAGAATCCTTAACACTACCTTATACATGTTTGTTTTTACATTATTAGTACTTTGTTGGATTAAAAAAGTTTTGGCCTATCAATAAAAATCTTGCTCATCTCGCCCATTGGCTTTTTTCGATATAAGAGAGTTTGTCCATTGGTCTAAAAATCCTGGTTACGCCGCTATTGGACGTTAGGTTAGGTAGTAAGATTTATTTTATTTTGAAAGTATATATGGTGTGTGTGTGAGTGAAGACAAAAGCTTTATCCGTATCCACACTTCATATCAATTATATCCTTTTCTGTCATTTGCATAGTTGTGAGCTAGTTAATATTTTTATTTTAGAAATCAAAGAAAAATCAGAACAGTTATCTTATACCACCTATCACTAATGCTAATATTCAAATCCGCGTGCTGGGGAATTATTGTCGTTGGATTTACAGCCGTAAACAGTATTTATAAGGTGTTTTTTATCTGCATACAAAGTTTAGGTGAGTGATATCTTTTATGATCATGCTATGTTGTTGCGACTCATGTGTTCTAAGTCTATGCAAAAATTATTGAGTAAAGATCACTGCAAACAGAATCGACAAAGTATCAGTGAGTTAAAAAAAAGTAATGATACTCGAAGAGACAGGATATTAGAAGTCAAGAGGATCGTCCAAGATGTCTCGAGTTTATTGACACTACTAGAATATTATATTGCATACTTTGCTAGTACATGTATTACTAAGCGTGAAATCAGAACTAAAAAACTTTTTCTAGTTAAGATCGGGATAATAAACGATTGATCCCGCTCGTCGGTACTCATTATACTTGGAAATTTAATAAGCTTCACAAAAAAAGAAAAATTTCTTTCTTCTAATCATTTGAAACCAATCGAGAATGATTAAATAGTTTATCATTAATTTTCCTCTTTTTTATAAATATATATAATGTTCGAATTATAGCAAATAAAAAATAAAAATAGAACATATGCATACCCATAAGAATTGACTATAATCATTCAGAACAAAACAAAAAAAAAAGAACATATTTTCTATGTGTCAGAAGATCAAATATACTTATTATCTGATACATAAGAGATTTTCTTTCTTTGCTTTTTTTTGGTAAATAAAGATAATAGACGCAAAAAGAGAGATCACTATTTGTCAATTATTATTTTTCTTTTCGCTTTATATAGATATTGTCCATGGAATAAAAATAAAAATAAAGAAATGAAATAAAGAAAAACAAATTATTTTAATGATGTTTTTATTTCTTCCATGAGATTAGAAATAAATAAATAAAAATTATTTAGTTTGATTTTTAATAAAAATCTTAAAATAGACATACAATTGATTTAAATAAAAGAGCTATTAGTTGTCTAAGTATTGTTTCAGCATATAAAGATGCAGCTGAATTAATTTTTTCGACAACTAAATTAAGAATTTGGATGTAAAAAAAATTTCAATTTTATTTTCTAACCAGTTAATCAATAAAATTGACAAATTTTATTAATTATCGATAGAAAATCTTGATTAGATGATGGAATACAAAGTTGTGATTGACATGTCAATGTACCCGAACTCATCAAATCAACGAATACCATACTTTTAAAAAAAATATATATTCATGTTAAATAACCTAATAAAAAAAACTTATTCTTGCGAATCAATAGTCTTTCGTCGTGAATATCGTGAACAAGGTAAATTAAGTTTAAATTCAATTCGATCTGTTTCAATTATATTTAATTTCTAAATATATTTGTCAAAAATGAAGATAACAAGTATTTTTTTTTATTTGTTCAACATACATCTATAGAATAAGTTGATGTTGTTTTTAAGTTTTGAGAAAATGATATAGCATTTATTGAAAAAAATAAATATGAATATAATTTGGTGAATGAGGAAAAAGACTTATAGATGGAAATTATATTAAATTTGCACTTGTTGTATTTAATAATTTCGAATTCATACTACAAATAACATGAATATTAATATGATCAATAATAAATGATATTCGATTTTCTAAAAGAAATGTTACATCCACCTGAGCTATTAATGGATCTGGATTAATCAAATATTCCTAAAAATAAATTTATAACAGATTGTTTAAATGCATATTCAAATGATTTCAATGGTAAAAAAAGTAATATCTCCAACGTTGGTGTGAGTTAGGGATGGACAAAGTTGACTTTTTTTTGGGATTGGAATCTGAATGGATCTTTTTTGTTTGCGTAATAGTCACTTTAGTGAATTTCTCTTCAGATCACCTTCAAAATCAAGTTCTTGATAGGATTAATTCATTGTGTGTAAGTGTCAGAAACTTCTGAATATCTTCTATCCTGAGACAGCAATATTGAAAATTCTGTTACGAAGAAAAGCGAACTCCATCTTTTCATATCTCAAAAGTAAGTTTTTTAAAGATGATCAGACGAAGATTTTCTCTAATCTCAATAGAGTCTACCACCTAATGAGATAAGACTCATGTCAAAAGCATTTTATCACTTAACGAAGTTTCCTCATCTATTGTTAAACTAGGATAATTATTGAATTTACAATTGTCAAATTGTCAGATTGAGCAGCTAGTTTATAAGTATCTTGTTCATTTTATTGTTACTCAGATTGATTTGTTGAATGAATATCATCCGTCATAATGTCCAATAGGAGTGGTACAGAAGTATTTGTATATACTATTGTTGTTATTTCTGATGATGATTT